TCGGCATTAATGGGTACAACAAGGACTGGTCGGCCCGGAGTCAGTATAATGTGTCTGAATGGGGTATTCATGCTTCACTGCGGCATGGTATCTCAGTGGGCTAGCACTATAAAACCAGCTTACGTCTGGGCTAGTACAAGCAGCCACACAGACACATACACACGCATGCACGTCGTTATATGAGCGAAATATTCTCAAGCACGATGTTAAACCCAATTTCACCTCACCTCACCTGGTCCAGACTCGATTATTTACAGACCGCCACCATATAGCTTGAATATTGTTGATTGTTTCGTTAAACGACAAACAAATAGAAACCACACAATATCACACATTTCACAAATACGAACATTTAGTAACAAATACAATAAAAAGTCGGCAGTTGATGTATTAGTCTATATATTCAGTGAACTAACAACAAAATTTAAATTTGTCACTATCGAACCATGCTGACAAGGTTAATTCATCACTTCAGATACCACTGACGACATAACTGTTAAATTACATACATGAATGTTTTGGATATTATAACGCTGACTCGGATAAAATCCAGTTTGTACATCTCTGAACCGATGTAATTCATGTACGACAAATGTCTTTTGTTTTCAAAGAATCTGTTGACAAATTTATACACTAAACCTACTTTTGGTTTTGTTTCTTCACCCTTCAGCCCAACTTTGGTTACTACGCTTATGACACAGGACCAATGCTTGGCGAACACGGGTTTGATCCAGCGGAGTCCAACATGAGCGGAATATTCACAGCATTTGGACCAAGTAGGTTCAGTCAGTCAGTCTTTGAGCGACATGTTCTACAGACATAAGTGTAAAACTATAATAAAAGAAAAATACTCAGCGCAAAAAGTTTATTTTTTGCAGGCGAATGTGTTTCCAACAAGGCACGTGTCTGTCCAATTACACTATGTAATTATTTATTTCATAAAGCAGTCGTAGAATGCATACGTTAGCGTATCCTGATTCGGCTAAGGGTCGTAACTCTGCACCAGATGTCCCGTGACTCTGTCTGAAAGGCACAGTAACGGTGAAAATTGCATGGACAGCGCAATAATGCCGGAACAGGATGGAACAAATTATTTGTTTCCAAATATATTTGTATCTAAAAAAGTCAAATTTTATATAGCTACTTGAATGGTAAAGAAATAATCACTATATCATGTTTGTGTCGTTGTCAGGTTTTGTCCCCGGTGTGACGTCAGAGAAGCTCTCCAACGTCAACCTATACCAGATAATGTGTGAGATCCTCAGCATCGAGCCTCGTTCTCACAATGGGACGTGGTCACATGTCAGTCACATGGTCAAAGATGTATCCGGAAGTCAGCCATTGCAGAGTGCACTAACAGTAGTTGTGCTCTGTATCATCGTGACTTTTTTGAACACCCAGTGTCTTTCAAATAAATGACACTAAGGCATACATCAATAGTCACACACCTGATCGTTCAAATGGCCTACATCATCAGCTCTGTAATTGGTTTAGGCAACAACATAATTATTACAGCAATAAATATCAGAATACATGTTGGTTTGAAGTCATAGAAATAAAATACATCAAATACATCATACTCGTTCAGTTATTCTGATACATAGAGAATCTCGACCCAAATGTCTACTGATATCAATTATCAACACGAGTTGATAAAGTTACAAATATTGCCGAGGATATTTTTACTTTTATCAACGAGTGTTGATATAATTGATATTAGTAGACACGAGGGCGATATTCTATTTATCATCAAAAATCATTCTAAATTAGTTTTCATTGAAAAATGTACCTCTCTGAACACTATACTACCATTAATCTTGCAGTGCAGTGACGGCATAACATTGTCATGTTATCAAGTTGATGACGTCATAGCATTGTCAGGGCATTGTAGAAAATCTACTGTCAAAGGGGATATCTCCAAGGAGATATCGTATGTTATTACCCACGAGTGTCGTATCGCGTTGACCTGTGTCGTAACGACTTGACCTGAGATTCTAACGATTTGATTGGATAACCGATGACCTCTCAATTAGGTCACATTCTGACGTAACTATTTTTTCATTCATAACAAACACGTGAATTCATTCATTCTGCAACTTAAATGCATTGTGGGAATGTAAACATTGCGAACGTTGCCGTGTCGCTGTTTAATTGTCAGTCGAACTGAGACTTTATATCTGTCGAAAAACATATACGCAATGTTTCCACCAGTGATGTTAGCCGAATGAAGCAACTGCAAACCAAGAAACGGGGTGCTACGTAGTAGTTTACTGTAGGAGGCTGTACGAGGCGATGACAACTGACATGCATCGTGACGTCGGTTACCAAGGCAGTGACGTCATTACAGTGTGATGTCATGCAAATATTGTACTACAGTACAAAACTCTTCCGCAACCTCTTTATGAAACCGACACTCTTTTGTCAATTTAATGCATGTAAGACGTGGGTAATAAATGAAATACCACACTCGGTCTCATTACATACGAATTATACGAAACTCGTGACCTTCCTATGGTATCTGACCTCGCTTTCGCTCGGTCAGAATGCCATAGGAAATCACAATTCCTTATAATTAATACGAACTTCGAAAGATCAGGCGATTCTCTATATCTCACACATGCGATATCTCATGTGGAACCAAGTTTTGGATGATACTATTATATATTCAATGGTTATTTTGAAAGTGGTGTAACGTATCTTAAAGGGTTTTCACCCCCGGGTTGGAATCCTCACTTAGTGAAACCCACAGCTGTGCCTTTTGCAGTATGTAGCTGGAATGACACTAGGATGGCCCAGTAGTTGGCTATTCACTCTGGAGACGTGGGTTCGATTCCCGCATGACTGAACCTCGTTCTTTAGATGTTGTCAGCAGCGGGGGCCTGCGATAAACCTGTGAATCAAGCGTCCTATACATTTATAGAAGTTTACGGAATCTTTGCTTAATCTTCCCCACAAATCCTTCACCACCGTCAACATCTATCACAAACACACGCAAAGGCCAGTCATTAATCAAAATAAGAAATTCAATCAGACACACTTTTGTCAGTGGTGCCTTACTGTTTTGAAATGTCATCTCCCATAAAGGCTGTAAGGGCGTCAGCAGCTGTAATTCTGGTAACAAATCATTTGAACAAGAGTGCTATGTTGTTTTTCGAATCTTCGTAGTGAGAGATTGCCCTATAATGTTGTAATATTTAGACACGCAATGTCTGAAAAGTAAAATGATAGAACCGTTACATCAGTCACTTATTTATATCTATTGAACACAAACGCTATATGATTACGGTCTGTCAATAAGGGAGCCTGGACCAGACAATCATGTGATGGACATCTTGAGCATCGATCTACACAATTTGGATACCATGACATGCATCAGCCAAGTCCCTGACCGCCCGACTCAAGTATTATTATTATATGATATTTATATAGCGCACATATCCAGGCAACTGGTGCTTGCTCAAGGCGCTGGTATTTTTTCCCTCGATCATTGGATGTCAATCTCAACGGCACATCGTATTATCAGTCTCAATTCCCTGGGGAGCATACAACTCTTGCAGCCACTTGGCGCACCGAGTTATTGTGGCCTTCTCATCCTAACGAGGTACCCATTCACAGCTGGGTGGACTGGGACACATAGTCACAGTACTTTGTCCAAGTTCACTGCACGTTGCTGTACCCGCAACTTGGTGTTTGCATGTATTCATGGGGCCACCATCTGGTCATATACCAACGGATTCATGGGTTCTTGTAAGTGCACAGGGATGTGTACTGTGCAGTAGGGGTTGTGACAACACTGAAAGAGTCTGCACACAAAGTTGACTCCAAGGTTTTTACACCCGGTCACAGGTGGGCTCGATCCCGACACCTCAAGCTCGCTGGATCACTAGCCTGGCACCTTAGCCAGCTCGCCCACCGCGCCCCAAGTAGCCCTTTTTACGACAAGCATGGGTGGCTGAAGACCAATCTTCACGGGTGAACTAAATATTATTTTTAACTTCTTGGTTTAGTTAGCGTTTATTTTTATCTGATTGCTGTCCCGAAGCATAATGGTACGCCGATTCAGGGCAGCACGCGGGAACTGATAAGGTCGTGGGAGAATACAGTTGGTATCTTCTTCAGAACTTCACATCTGATTTTATCTTAAGTTTTTGTCACATAAGAATCACCGTGAACATATGTTTAAATGGTAAAACTATCAGATACCTCAACCCATAAGTTACATCTAATCGACGGAAATTACTATCAATGAAAACTGCACCGTTTCAAGAGAAACGTTAAACGTGATGATTCGCTTCTCGCGAGACTATGAGACTTCTGGATAAGCTGTTTTCAAAATGGCGTCGAAGACTGCGTTCATTGTATTGGCTGTGTCGACGTTGTGTGTGGCAGGTGAGTGTTTGTTTAAAGGCAGAATCATGTGTCATTATGTCTAATTTGCATAACAACCGGAATTGCCTATTTTGTTCCTACCACCCATGCGTCCTCTCCTTTCCGCCCCTTCTACACCCGTGAAGGTCCGGGTTGCTTGTAGTAAGAGGCGACTAACGGGATCGGGTGGTCAGGCTCGCTGGTTTGGTTGACACATGTCATCGGCTCCCAATTGCGCAGATCGATGCTCATGCTGTTGATCACTGGATTGTCTGGTCCAGACTCGATTATTTACAGACCGCCTCATATAGCTGGAATATTGCTGAGTGCGGCGTAAAACTAAACTCACTCACTCACTCACTCACTCATTCATCCACTCACCCACTCACTCACTCACTCACTCACCCTTCTACCATATTGTGTGGCCTTTTATCCCCATCATCTCTTTAGCTTTGGTAATCACCCTCCCTCCCTACCTTTGTTTTTTTGTATTAATGTATTTTGTTCCTTTTTGCTTACTCAGCCTCGTGACACATTGTTCTGTATAAACAACCTCAATATTTTATCGGTTCCCTTTGCTTATGACTCATAGCTGTTATTATTTCGGGACACGCCATGATTATGCCGTCTGTGGTGTTTACAGTATTTTAGGTCGGTCCTCGGCTGTGCGATATTTTTCACCTCAGCGAACCGTTTACCAATCTTATTAAACTCCACCTTAACCGCCCAAAAAGTGTTTGTTTTCTTCTTTATTGTGTGTATGGAGGTCTAGCAGATTGCAGAAATATTGGTACAATAGTTGATAAGAGCCAGGCTGAAAGGTCATCTCAGTAACCCTTTACTGACCAGCCTCCCAGTGCTCGTCCCTATTCCCCATTCACTGCCCACACACTTCCAACACCCTAAATTCTCCGTTGAATTTAATCAAGACTTCAACAGAACGAGGCAATACAATACAGTGCGTGTAGTTGTTCTGCTCGGATTGTTGGTCGCGTTTGTCTCCCTGAGATACCAGATTCATGGTACCTCAAACTTGTCTCCCCATTGGGAATGTGGCTAAGACAATGTCCCTTATACCTCCTCCCTGTCGCTCTATTGGGATATCAGCCTGTCTCCCCATTGTAAATGTGGTTACGATGAGGTCCTTGATACCTGAAACTTGTCTCCCCATTGTAAATGTGGTTACGATGAGGTCCTTGATACCTGAAACTTGTCTCCCCATTGTAAATGTGGTTACGATGATGTACTTGATACCTGAAACTTGTCTCCTCATTTAAATGTGGTTACGATGATGTACTTGATACCTGAAACTTGTCTCTCCATTGTAAATGTGGTTACGATGATGTACTTGATACCTGAAACTTGTCTCCCCATTGTAAATGTAGTTACGACGATGTCCTTGATACCTCATACTTGTCTCTCCTTTGTAAATGTGGTTACGATGATGTCCTTGGTACCTCAAACTTGTCTCTCCATTGTAAATGTGGTAACGATGATGTACTTGATACCTGAAACTTGTCTCCCCTTTGTAAATGTGGTAACGATGATGTACTTGATACCTCAAACTTGTCTCTCCACTGTGAATGTGGTTACGATGATGTCCTTGGTACCTCAAACTTGTCTCTCCATTGTAAATGTGGTTACGATGATGTACTTGATACCTGAAACTTGTCTCTCCATTGTAAATGTGGTTACGATGATGTACTTGATACCTGAAACTTGTCTCCCCATTGTAAATGTGGTTACGATGATGTCCTTGGTACCTCAAACTTGTCTCTCCATTGTAAATGTGGTTACGATGATGTACTTGATACCTGAAACTTGTCTCTCCATTGGAAATGTGGTTACGATGATGTACTTGATACCTGAAACTTGTCTCCCCATTGTAAATGTGGTTACGACGATGTCCTTGATACCTCATACTTGTCTCTCCATTGTAAATGTGGTTACGATGATGTCCTTGGTACCTCAAACTTGTCTCCCCTTTGTAAATGTGGTAACGATGATGTACTTGATACCTGAAACTTGACTCTCCACTGTAAATGTGGTAACGATGATGTCCTTGGTACCTCAAACTTGTCTCCCCATTGTAAATGTGGTTACGACGATGTCCTTGATACCTCATACTTGTCTCTCCATTGTAAATGTGGTTACGATGATGAACTTGATACCTGAAACTTGTCTCTCAATTGTAAATGTGGTTACGACGATGTACTTGATACCTGAAACTTGTCTCCCCATTGTAAATGTAGTTACGACGATGTCCTTGATACCTCATACTTGTCTCTCCATTGTAAATGTGGTTACGATGATGTCCTTGGTACCTCAAACTTGTCTCCCCTTTGTAAATGTGGTAACGATGATGTACTTGATACCTGAAACTTGTCTCTCCACTGTAAATGTGGTTACGATGATGTCCTTGGTACCTCAAACTTGTCTCTCCATTGTAAATGTGGTTACGATGATCTCCTTGGTACCTCAAACTTGTCTCTCCATTGTAAATGTGGTAACGATGATGTACTTGATACCTGAAACTTGTCTCCCCTTTGTAAATGTGGTAACGATGATGTCCTTGGTACCGCAAACTTGTCTCCCCTTTGTAAATGTGGTAACGATGATGTCCTTGGTACCTCAAACTTGTCTCTCCATTGTAAATGTGGTAGCGATGATGTCCTTGGTACCTCAAACTTGTCTCCCCATTGTAAATGTGGTTACGATGAGGTCCTTGATACCTGAAACTTGTCTCCCCATTGTAAATGTGGTTACGATGATGTACTTGATACCTGAAACTTGTCTCCCCATTTAAATGTGGTTACGATGATGTACTTGATACCTGAAACTTGTCTCTCCATTGTAAATGTGGTTACGATGATGTCCTTGATACCTGAAACTTGTCTCCCCATTGTAAATGTAGTTACGACGATGTCCTTGATACCTCATACTTGTCTCTCCATTGTAAATGTGGTTACGATGATGTCCTTGGTACCTCAAACTTGTCTCTCCATTGTAAATGTGGTAACGATGATGTACTTGATACCTGAAACTTGTCTCTCCATTGTAAATGTGGTTACGATGATGTACTTGATACCTCAAACTTGTCTCTCCATTGTAAATGTGGTTACGATGATCTCCTTGGTACCTCAAACTTGTCTCTCCATTGTAAATGTGGTAACGATGATGTACTTGATACCTGAAACTTGTCTCTCCATTGTAAATGTGGTAACGATGATGTACTTGATACCTCAAACTTGTCTCTCCACTGTGAATGTGGTTACGATGATGTCCTTGGTACCTCAAACTTGTCTCCCCATTGTAAATGTGGTTACGACGATGTCCTTGATACCTCATACTTGTCTCTCCATTGTAAATGTGGTAACGATGATGTACTTGATACCTGAAACTTGTCTCTCCATTGTAAATGTGGTTACGATGATGTACTTGATACCTGAAACTTGTCTCCCCATTGTAAATGTAGTTACGACGATGTCCTTGATACCTCATACTTGTCTCTCCATTGTAAATGTGGTTACGATGATGTCCTTGGTACCTCAAACTTGTCTCCCCTTTGTAAATGTGGTAACGATGATGTACTTGATACCTGAAACTTGTCTCTCCACTGTAAATGTGGTTACGATGATGTCCTTGGTACCTCAAACTTGTCTCCCCATTATAAATGTGGTTACGACGATGTCCTTGATACCTCATACTTGTCTCTCCATTGTAAATGTGGTTACGATGATGTACTTGATACCTGAAACTTGTCTCTCCATTGTAAATGTGGTTACGACGATGTCCTTGATACCTCATACTTGTCTCTCCATTGTAAATGTGGTTACGATGATGTCCTTGGTACCTCAAACTTGTCTCCCCTTTGTAAATGTGGTAACGATGATGTACTTGATACCTGAAACTTGACTCTCCACTGTAAATGTGGTAACGATGATGTCCTTGGTACCTCAAACTTGTCTCCCCATTGTAAATGTGGTTACGACGATGTCCTTGATACCTCATACTTGTCTCTCCATTGTAAATGTGGTTACGATGATGAACTTGATACCTGAAACTTGTCTCTCAATTGTAAATGTGGTTACGACGATGTACTTGATACCTGAAACTTGTCTCCCCATTGTAAATGTAGTTACGACGATGTCCTTGATACCTCATACTTGTCTCTCCATTGTAAATGTGGTTACGATGATGTCCTTGGTACCTCAAACTTGTCTCCCCTTTGTAAATGTGGTAACGATGATGTACTTGATACCTGAAACTTGTCTCTCCACTGTAAATGTGGTTACGATGATGTCCTTGGTACCTCAAACTTGTCTCTCCATTGTAAATGTGGTTACGATGATCTCCTTGGTACCTCAAACTTGTCTCTCCATTGTAAATGTGGTAACGATGATGTACTTGATACCTGAAACTTGTCTCCCCTTTGTAAATGTGGTAACGATGATGTCCTTGGTACCGCAAACTTGTCTCCCCTTTGTAAATGTGGTAACGATGATGTCCTTGGTACCTCAAACTTGTCTCTCCATTGTAAATGTGGTAGCGATGATGTCCTTGGTACCTCAAACTTGTCTCCCCATTGTAAATGTGGTTACGATGAGGTCCTTGATACCTGAAACTTGTCTCCCCATTGTAAATGTGGTTACGATGATGTACTTGATACCTGAAACTTGTCTCCCCATTTAAATGTGGTTACGATGATGTACTTGATACCTGAAACTTGTCTCTCCATTGTAAATGTGGTTACGATGATGTCCTTGATACCTGAAACTTGTCTCCCCATTGTAAATGTAGTTACGACGATGTCCTTGATACCTCATACTTGTCTCTCCATTGTAAATGTGGTTACGATGATGTCCTTGGTACCTCAAACTTGTCTCTCCATTGTAAATGTGGTAACGATGATGTACTTGATACCTGAAACTTGTCTCTCCATTGTAAATGTGGTTACGATGATGTACTTGATACCTCAAACTTGTCTCTCCATTGTAAATGTGGTTACGATGATCTCCTTGGTACCTCAAACTTGTCTCTCCATTGTAAATGTGGTAACGATGATGTACTTGATACCTGAAACTTGTCTCTCCATTGTAAATGTGGTAACGATGATGTACTTGATACCTCAAACTTGTCTCTCCACTGTGAATGTGGTTACGATGATGTCCTTGGTACCTCAAACTTGTCTCCCCATTGTAAATGTGGTTACGACGATGTCCTTGATACCTCATACTTGTCTCTCCATTGTAAATGTGGTAACGATGATGTACTTGATACCTGAAACTTGTCTCTCCATTGTAAATGTGGTTACGATGATGTACTTGATACCTGAAACTTGTCTCCCCATTGTAAATGTAGTTACGACGATGTCCTTGATACCTCATACTTGTCTCTCCATTGTAAATGTGGTTACGATGATGTCCTTGGTACCTCAAACTTGTCTCCCCTTTGTAAATGTGGTAACGATGATGTACTTGATACCTGAAACTTGTCTCTCCACTGTAAATGTGGTTACGATGATGTCCTTGGTACCTCAAACTTGTCTCCCCATTATAAATGTGGTTACGACGATGTCCTTGATACCTCATACTTGTCTCTCCATTGTAAATGTGGTTACGATGATGTACTTGATACCTGAAACTTGTCTCTCCATTGTAAATGTGGTAACGATGATGTACTTGATACCTGAAACTTGTCTCCCCATTGTAAATGTAGTTACGACGATGTCCTTGATACCTCATACTTGTCTCTCCATTGTAAATGTGGTTACGATGATGTCCTTGGTACCTCAAACTTGTCTCTCCATTGTAAATGTGGTTACGATGATGTACTTGATACCTGAAACTTGTCTCCCCATTGTAAATGTGGTTACGATGATGTCCTTGGTACCTCAAACTTGTCTCTCCATTGTAAATGTGGTTACGATGATCTCCTTGGTACCTCAAACTTGTCTCTCCATTGTAAATGTGGTAACGATGATGTACTTGATACCTGAAACTTGTCTCTCCATTGTAAATGTGGTAACGATGATGTCCTTGGTACCGCAAACTTGTCTCCCCTTTGTAAATGTGGTTACGATGATGTCCTTGGTACCTCAAACTTGTCTCTCCATTGTAAATGTGGTAGCGATGATGTCCTTGGTACCTCAAACTTGTCTCCCTTTGTAAATGTGGTTACAATGATCTCCTTGGTACCTAAAACTTGTCTCCCCATTGTAAATGTGGTTACGATGATCTCCTTGGTCCCTCAAACTTGTCTCTCCATTGTAAATGTGGTTACGATGATCTCCTTGATACCTCATACTTGTCTCTCCACTGTAAATGTGGTTACGATGATGTCCTTGGTACCTCATACTTGTCTCTCCACTGTAAATGTGGTTACGATGATGTCCTTGGTACCTCAAACTTGTCTCACCTTTGTAAATGTGGTTACGATGATGTCCTTGGTACCTCAAACTTGTCTCTCCATTGTAAATGTGGTAACGATGATGTACTTGATACCTGAAACTTGTCTCTCCATTGTAAATGTGGCAACGATGATGTACTTGATACCTCAAACTTGTCTCTCCACTGTGAATGTGGTTACGATGATGTCCTTGGTACCTCAAACTTGTCTCCCCATTGTAAATGTGGTTACGACGATGTCCTTGATACCTCATACTTGTCTCTCCATTGTAAATGTGGTTACGATGATGTACTTGATACCTTAAACTTGTCTCTCCATTGTAAATGTGGTTACGATGATGTACTTGATACCTGAAACTTGTCTCCCCATTGTAAATGTAGTTACGACGATGTCCTTGATACCTCATACTTGTCTCTCCATTGTAAATGTGGTTACGATGATGTCCTTGGTACCTCAAACTTGTCTCCCCTTTGTAAATGTGGTAACGATGATGTACTTGATACCTGAAACTTGTCTCTCCACTGTAAATGTGGTTACGATGATGTCCTTGGTACCTCAAACTTGTCTCCCCATTATAAATGTGGTTACGACGATGTCCTTGATACCTCATACTTGTCTCTCCATTGTAAATGTGGTTACGATGATGTACTTGATACCTGAAACTTGTCTCTCCATTGTAAATGTGGTAACGATGATGTACTTGATACCTGAAACTTGTCTCCCCATTGTAAATGTAGTTACGACGATGTCCTTGATACCTCATACTTGTCTCTCCATTGTAAATGTGGTTACGATGATGTCCTTGGTACCTCAAACTTGTCTCCCCTTTGTAAATGTGGTAACGATGATGTACTTGATACCTGAAACTTGTCTCCCCATTGTAAATGTGGTTACGATGATGTCCTTGGTACCTCAAACTTGTCTCTCCATTGTAAATGTGGTTACGATGATCTCCTTGGTACCTCAAACTTGTCTCTCCATTGTAAATGTGGTAACGATGATGTACTTGATACCTGAAACTTGTCTCTCCATTGTAAATGTGGTAACGATGATGTCCTTGGTACCGCAAACTTGTCTCCCCTTTGTAAATGTGGTTACGATGATGTCCTTGGTACCTCAAACTTGTCTCTCCATTGTAAATGTGGTAGCGATGATGTCCTTGGTACCTCAAACTTGTCTCCCCTTTGTAAATGTGGTTACAATGATCTCCTTGGTACCTAAAACTTGTCTCCCCATTGTAAATGTGGTTACGATGATCTCCTTGGTCCCTCAAACTTGTCTCTCCATTGTAAATGTGGTTACGATGATCTCCTTGATACCTCATACTTGTCTCTCCACTGTAAATGTGGTTACGATGATGTCCTTGGTACCTCATACTTGTCTCTCCACTGTAAATGTGGTTACGATGATGTCCTTGGTACCTCAAACTTGTCTCTCCATTGTAAATGTGGTTACGATGATCTCCTTGGTACCTCAAACTTGTCTCTCCATTGTAAATGTGGTAACGATGATGTACTTGATACCTCAAACTTGTCTCTCCATTGTAAATGTGGTAACGATGATGTCCTTGGTACCGCAAACTTGTCTCCCCTTTGTAAATGTGGTTACGATGATGTCCTTGGTACCTCAAACTTGTCTCTCCATTGTAAATGTGGTAGCGATGATGTCCTTGGTACCTCAAACTTGTCTCCCCTTTGTAAATGTGGTTACAATGATCTCCTTGGTACCTAAAACTTGTCTCCCCATTGTAAATGTGGTTACGATGATCTCCTTGGTCCCTCAAACTTGTCTCTCCATTGTAAATGTGGTTACGATGATCTCCTTGATACCTCATACTTGTCTCTCCACTGTAAATGTGGTTACGATGATGTCCTTGGTACCTCATACTTGTCTCTCCACTGTAAATGTGGTAACGATGATGTACGTGATACCTCAAACTTGTCTCACCTTTGTAAATGTGGTTACGATGATGTCCTTGGTACCTGAAACTTGTCTCTCCATTGTAAATGTGGTTACGATGATCTCCTTGGTACCTCAAACTTGTCTCCCCTTTGTAAATGTGGTTACGATGATGTCCTTGGTACCTCAAACTTGTCTCCCCATTGTAAATGTGGTAACGATGATGTCCTTGGTACCTCAAACTTGTCTCTCCATTGTAAATGTGGTAACGATGATGTCCTTGGTACCTCAAACTTGTCTCTCCATTGTAAATGTGGTAACGATGATGTCCTTGATACCTCAAACTTGTCTCTCCATTGTAAATGTGGTAACGATGATGTCCTTGGTACCTCAAACTTGTCTCCCCTTTGTAAATGTGGTTACGATGATGTCCTCGGTACCGCAAACTTGTGTCCCCATTGTAAATGCAGTTACGATGATGTCCTTGGCACCTCAAACTTGTGTCCCCATTGTAAATGTGGTAACGATGATGTCCTTTGTACCTCAAACTTGTCTCCCCACTGTAAATGTGGTTACGATGATGTCCTTGGTACCTCAAACTTGTCTCCCTATTAGGAATGTGTTTAAGGCAAGATCCCTGTTGCCTCCAAGTTACCTCACCGTTGGGATTATCGGTAAGATAAAGTCCCTTTCACCTCATGCTTGTCTCCCAGAAGCGGTGCCGGACATGAACACATGGCAACACCTCATGTCTCCTCGGGCGGTGGGGTGGCCTAGTGGTTGAAGCGTTCGCTCGTCACGTCGAAGACCCGGGTTCGATTCCTCATATGGGTATAATGTGTGAAGCCCATTTCTGGTAATATTGCTGGAATATCGCTAAAAGCGGCGTAACACTAAACTCACTCACTCACTCATGTCTCCTTGTTGGATTTGTGCAGGCCAGAGTGAGTGAGTGAGTGTATGAGCGATAAGCATCGATATAGGCCCCTTTTAGCAGTGTTTCAGGAATATCACAGCAGAACCCGGTCTTTCAGGGTGGTGTGGGAATGCCTTGACCAACTTGTTCTATGTTACATCTAAGCCAAGTTTCCTGGTCAAACGAGATTCTACGAGAGTTTGTCTGAGAAACAGCAGATAACATTATCAATGATGTCGCTCACTAATATTCTATATCTAATGGACTAGTCTAGTCCGAGCTAATGTGACATGTTGGACTCTACGATTTCTCAAAACGAACTGGGACATAAATATATTTAAGTACATACAAAAAACATCCGGGATATAATTTTACGACTTCGCAGATCCTTGAATCTAGAGGCTGCGGGCAAGACGGTTGGGTACAATGTGTGAAGCCCATTTCTTGTGTTTTGACTTTGTGAAACGCAGAACTAATGCTCGGTATTTCCTATTTACAGGTGTGCTGTTGGTGTATTTCACCGCCCTGAAATCACCGGATGTCAGTGTGGATGTTCACGCACGAGCTGCGGCAACTACAATTAAAGCAGCCACGACCACTCCAAAACCAGGTCAGTTTATTTGTCTGTGTGTCTTTCTCTGTGTGTCTTTCTCTGTGTGTTTGCGTTTGTGTTTGGTTAGTTCCCATGAATTAGAATTGTAAAGCACAGGAGTGAGCTTGGCCCGGTGATCTTAAACAATGGCCATTCTATGTTTTTACGGTTAGGTCTAACATTGCCTGCAGTGACTTACGCCTACACTTTTGAAAGGAGCTCAGTCAGGCCTACTGGTCTACTCACTGGACACCATCATTTGGGAGGAGACCTTGTCATCATGAACCTTATTGTTTTTGTTTTTCTTTGATGTCTAAATGTTCTGTTACAGCATACAACTAAAATTACCAAATATTAAATCCTCGTCCAGAAAATCCCGAGTGACAGACACAGAGAAAAGGAACAGACATATTTTGACAGACACGGTCGGCAAAGCCACAGACATTCATAAACACCCACAGACGGACAGACACACGGACTGACAGGCTGACAGGCTGACAGAGGAAGGGTAATTCAAACTTGATACTTAACCTACTACCACAGTGAACTGGACTAATAGACAGACATTCCATGTCACCCATCACAGATTATCTCCCCTTCTCGATACACAACACAGATTATCTCCCCTTCTCGAATACGAACACTAATGCCTTACCTATTACAGTCGTGTGTTACCACTGCACTGATCTCAGCTGCTACACGTCTCCCGTGAGCTCCAACTGTGTCGGCAACAACACCTACTGCATCTCCGAAGTTACCGACCACAGCAACGGCAACCGAGACATCATCAAAGGGTACAAAACATCAAACATTGTAATTCATCTGTTCCTAAAATATAAATAATTTATTTGATCAATGGGTAAGGAAAGCCTAACGTGACTAAAGCAAGGGAGAAAACTCTGTATAGTAAGCCGCCGTTTTTCGCCATGTGAAGGAGGTGTAGTATTTGAGAACATATTTTTGTGGCTTCATGTGGTCAGGAAGGCTTGGAGGAATTAGAGGCAATCTACACTGAAATAGTATTGAAAGCGGCGTAAAACCAAACTCACTCACACATGTTCAATGACATTCAATTCAAATGATCCCAGAGATGTTCGAAGTGATAACTCTCTTTTGCCCGGTAGTTTACATGACATCAGGTAAAGGACCCAGTGATGCAGATCTTTACAGTGTAGTTGAAACAAACGAGTACGGGTATGGCGTCGGTATATCTAGAAACACAATCTCGGTGGACCGGATTCGAAGCCACGATCATAGGTTTGTTGCGTGTCCAAGGGACGCAACTCTGCTCGTGACGACTGGACCCTCGTGCCGAACCTTAGCTAAAATCACATACCTGTCACAGGCCTTTTAATAGTGTGACTAAAACAAATTTATCTGTATATCTATCAACTTCCAGATGTGCCTCACTAACACAGTGCCAGCAGAGTTACTCCGCCACCCGAGCCCAGCCTCGTTGTCTTGGTATTGACCACCAGGTGTCAGGCTATGCGATCACGTGCTCCTTCTGTTGCAAGGGAGATAACTGCAACAGGGGCCCTCACCTAACGCCAACTGAAGGAGTCCCATTCGTGGGGAAGGCGATCGTTGGATAGATGAATTGGATAACATTCAAATATTTGTACATCTTTAGTAACGAGGAATTATTTGTAGATTCTGTTATTACAACCCGTACTTCAATATTAATAAAAAAAATACCCAGTTCTAGTGCAGAGCGCGTCAGCTTGCAGATCGGACGGTCTGTGGTTCGATTCCCGCCCGCGTCATACCAAAAGACATTCAACGATGGTACTTGATGTTTCCTTGCCCTATACACGACATTAATAGGGTCTCATGGTCTCTCAGTGGTCTAGCACTATAAAACAGCAGCACACACACGCACGCCCGCATGCACGCTGTCAGTGATTAGTCAGGTTAGAATATGCCCCGGCAGACTGTGGTTAAGCCCGTATGTGGTTCTTTGCTCATGATATCGACCACTGGTTTGTCAGACCAAAACTCAACAACTAAAGGTCACCATAATTTAGCTGGAATGCAAGCGGCTGAACGAAAAAGAATGCACGCACGTTGGTAGCCCAAACTGTTGTGGGACCCTTTATGACGACACATAATTATGACGTCATATCCATATGACGTAATATTGGGTAATACGGCGTTTGCCAAATAATATCTCCACTTTTTGGCAGGAATTAGTCAATCTGGTTCAAAACGAGAGTACGATAACAGGATTATTTCCATCATATCTATCGTTCAGTATATTCGCCAGCTATACAAACCAAGCACAGGAACGATCTTTTATTACATAGACAACATCTTTATTGCAATAGATGTGACGTTTCGGTGTAGATGCTAACACCGTTATCGACCAAGTAGAGTGAGTGAGTGATTTTAGTTTTACGCCGCACTCAGCAATATTCCAGCTATATGGCGGCGGCCTGTAAATAATCGAGTCTGGACCAGACAATCCAGTGATCAACAGCATGAGCATCGATCTGCGCAATTCGGAACCGATGACATGTGTCAACCAAGTCAGCGAGCCTAACCACCCAATCCCGTTAGTCGCCTCTTACAAGCATAGTCGCCTTTTGTGGCAAGCGTGGGTTGCTGAAGACCAATTCTACCCCGGATCTTCACGGGCCTCGACCAAGTAGAACCCAACACTATGAACAAGTAGAATATAAACATAAAGGGTATATAGAGAATACTACACGAGGTCTCATTACATACGAATTATACGAAACGAGTGTCCATAGGTCACGAGTTTCGTATAATTCGTATGTAATGAGACCGAGTGTGGTATTTTATTTATTTCCCACGTCTTACATGCATTACATTGACAAAATAGCGTATTTTTGTTATGTTTTTGGTTTCAAACCGAAACCGGTTTCATAAAGAGGTTGCGGAAGAGTTTTTTTGTACCGTAGTACAATATTTGCATGACGTCACACTGTAATGACGTCACTGCCTTAGTAAGCGACGTCACGATGCATGTCAGTTTTCATCGCCTCGTACAGCCTCCTACAGTAAACTACTCCGTAGCACCTCGTTTCTTGGTTTCCAATGTTTACATTCCCACAATGCATTTAAGTTGTAGAATGAATGAATTCACGTGTTTGTTATGAATAAAAAAATAGTTACGTCAGAATGTGACCTAATTGAGAGGTCATCGGTTATCCAATCAAATCGTTAGAATCTCAGGCCAAGTCGTTACGACACAGGTCAACGCGATACGACACTCGTGTGACGTACGAGATTAGTATGCAACTACCCATACGTTGACCACGTGGGTAATAATAGAATTTATACAATTATGAAAGCTGATGTACAGTGTGATGATATTGCTAATAGTTGTTGTCATAAAAGATAATGGTTATGAAGCTAGATGGACAAAGTGTAGGGGCCGCTTTATCTTCATTGGCCTTGATCAGATCACGGTCTATCCATAAAAAACCCCGTTCATGTTCATAATATCAGCTTGTAAATGCCACTCAAAGAAGTTAAAGCAATATGCCATTGCAAACAAAATGTGAAACCAGGGGCTGTCCTGTTTCACTGTGAACAAAACATCACGTGGACGACCGGACCGAGGCAAATATCTCGTGTTCCAAGTTTTGTTGAAACGTCTCCATAGAGATTAGATCGTGTTTCGTTGGAAAATAAAATGTCTGGCCACTTCATTTTGGGCCATTCCAGTTTCCAGCATACCAACGGCGTCTAGACGCTGATTTTCCGTAAGCCGTACGTGACGTACATGCGGTTTAGGTTCACATTAGCAAATTTACACCAAGAGAATAATCAACCGTTCTTCAGTTTTCAATACCAGGTGTGTGAACTTCAAATGTCAAAAGGCGTACAAAATGTGAGCAAGTTCATTGTGCACAAAGTGCATGTGCCATGGGTGATACGTGACATCAAATTTCATGAAAAGTGCTTCGCTACATGTTTTATAAATTTTGAAAACATGATTTGTTATATTTTTATATGTAAAATATTAATCAGATATTTGCACTATAACACACGGGTTGTTTTCAATGGTTAGCTCCTTCAGACCTGCCTGAGATTCCTCAGAATCAGTCACAGGATGTGTAGATGTAGACTTAGAATGCCCCCCAAAATTATCTGAAGACCGTAATAGTTCCCCACTTCCAATACGATAAATTATTAGTTCAGCCTTCATATATTGAATTAAATCAAACTGAACAAGAGATCACGTGCTATACCTCGTTACTACCATACCATTTACGTTTGGATGTAATAACAACATTAATTTCTAGGTGATTGTGGTGTGGCATGGCTTTTGCTAGAAACATCCAGGACTATATATTAGGTATATAAGGTATGGTTGTTGAGATGTCTGGAGGGATTACTTTGGATTAGCCCTCATCTGCCTGCTAGCATCGACGTTTCAAGACCTACCACATGGATCTTTCAACAGCTGTCAACAATCTTCAATCTGTACATCTATTTTTACTCGGAGTTTTAATACTTTGGTGAGTAAATATTTTAGATTTGTGACCAAATATTTTAGATTTGTAACCTTGATTCTTTAATTTGTTAATATATAATTGGATATTATAGACTCGTCTCTGTTTTATTTTGCTGGTGTGAACGGTAGTCACAAGCCTTTATCACAGCAATTTCTAAACCGTAATAACTGAAACAGTAAAGCAAATCACATTATCACCATCGTACCGGGGTGTGTCGAACTCTGAGGTGCGGTTATTTAATTTTAGTCATTACTTTCCGGGTGGGTCGAGCCTCGGCTTACTATAGTTTACTAATATTTACGTTGGTGCCTTCAGTTTCAACACAATGGTGTTGGACTGCGACATCTATGATCCTGAGCGTAAACATGAGGCGATGACATACACAATTTTATGGACTATATCACACCAAGTGATGGATTTACTCGCGCTTTGTACAATTAATAATCTGGTAGTTTGGACATTTGAACCATTTGCTGATTCGAGTCATCCATGAATGTCGGACGACTTGCAAGAGGATGGTTAACAGAATGTGGCACGATGGTGGGATCCAGTACATTCATGTCGACAGCATTCACGCGAAATACAATAGGTCAAGTCAAATCTGATGGAAATCAGACGGTTCATACATAACGAGGAAGAACCAAAAACATGGAAGGCAGGTTAATTTGATGTGTGTAAGTCAAACGGTAAGACCATGCTTAAAGCAATACGGGTGTATCAACATTATCATACTGGGCGTGACATTGATGAATAATACATCCTGAAATATTTCGTTTATTTTTCTCAAATACATTTTGAATTATAACACGTTTGATCAGCTTCGGTTTTTGCTTTTGTAAGATGATAAAATAATTACCCTATCCAACCTCTCAAAATAAAATGACTAAATCCTGTCGTTGATGATCCTGTGATGCAATAATCTCTCTGAGATGAGTAATGTGGAATGTTGGAAGATTCAACAAAAAAAAGTTTATAAAATCAAAACTTAAACAAATAAGGGCGTTCTTGTGGATGTTTTGTCCTTGTTTTTTGTTTCTAGTGTTCAGTGAGACACGAATAATGTCACCATCTGTGTTACAGACCAGCTATAGACCCCAGGTATCGATCACAATTACTGAGACCATCCCATTGTCCATTGAAATTCGTGTTGTGGTGCTTGGTGAACCATCAGTTGCAGTTGATAAGTGAATAGGATCGCTGACTGTGATTCCTTGCCAATGTCACACATGCTTCTGTCAACGCTTAGTGCCATGGACGCAATCTCGAATCTAGGAGAGACATGAACGTGGGATTAAAACACTTGGCAGGAACTTCCTTCTCGATAAACATTACATTACCTGTTGTTTGGGAAAATACTGACAGCCAACTGAGTTATATTGGTCATTGTGACGTGTGGCGATTGCTCAGATTTTAGTTCGTTATAACCATGGTTCTGTATAATGCATTTCGACTGAAATATACAGGGAGTGATCTGGACAGAGGTAGCCCGAAACAATTCCTAATATCCGTCAGTTCGTGATAGGCGTGTTTGTTATATATGAAGGCTGTTGACTGTACTCCTTAAGGTCACACCACACTTCTCTAAAAACACATAATGTATTTCTCTCAATAACACTATCAGCCCTTGGGGAAGCTACCATAAAATTTATTCCCAAAACAATTATGTACAATGTATTTAGATTACAATGTTAAATGAAAATGTTCTAAAGAATTAATTCAAAGTTGCAATAAATCGAATTTCGCGCCCTCTACCGGCCTAACATTATTTCAAGCGAACCCATAGAGTTATGTCCCTTGGAGCGCTCTTTACGAATATCCTATGCACAAGTATGTGAATGAAACCAGTTAGGCAAACACCAACAACACCGCGTGCTACAGTTTTTGATGTATGGAGCAATTGTTACATTCCTTATATGGCAAGTCTTCTCTGCTTGGTAGCTTTTCACCTCAAAGTTTCAATTATCGATTTCAGTCAAGTCGTGAGGGATAATAAGTCTTTTGTTGCATCACTAGGATGCTTAAGTGAGTGCACATGCCCCAATATGTATAATATAGGCCAAAACATTGTCGAAAATATGTGACTCTGTGACTTTAAAGCGGCGTAAAACCCTCTCATAGGCTGTTTGGTTGTTGTTTAACGACATATTGTGCCTCAGTTCGTCTCAGCATGTGTCTATTATGTCTCACGTGCTGTACATTGTTTGTTGTCGTTATCCTAGCCCGCG